CACACTGGATACACATAGTGGATAAATACAGTAAATACTTTTTTATTACTTAATTCTATTTTTCTTGAATTAATTTTAATTACATAGGTCTTTTTAGTTAATATTCAGTGCAAAATTAGTTAATTTTGACATAAATATTAATTTTATTATAATATTTTTTATTAGATGATAATTTTTTTGAATATGTATTTTATAATTCTATTTCGATAGTTTATTTTTATTGAACTATGTTTTTAATAAATATTTTAATTTAATATATAATTTGACTTAATTTATTTATTTATTTATTTATTTTTTTTGGTATTAAGATAATCTTTTTGGCCGGGGAACGTTTTATTAGATAGTTTTGTTTTTTAATTACAGTAAGGATAGATCAAGCCACACATGTACTTTTTGAGTGCCTATTTAAGTAGTCTGTCTGAAGGTTCTACACTATCTGCTATACCTATACCCAACTAGGGAGGTACCCATTTAAACTCTCTGACTATAATCTATTTCCAAACCAATGGATACTATCTAACCTGATGCATAGCTTACTATACACAGATAGTTCACTATTGCCTAATCTAATTTTGCTCTTATCCTAGGACTTACAAACCCTAATGAGGCTAATCTATCCACGAGATAAATCTAACAGAGTGGTTCATGTCCCACATGTATATTCACCTCTGCATGTTCGGTAATTTTTTCCCAATTAGTACATATTGTCTGCCACCATTGTGTTTGTATCTCATGCCACCTTTTGGGGTGCTGCTATAACACAATCTGTATCTCAAACACAACCTTCTTAATTAGTCTTCTATTATATACTCTTGCCCTTGTATAGTTTATAACAACTCCAGTATTCCAATCCAACTATCTTTTTATCCGGATTTTTAATCAGTCTCTCCTTTACTTCCAGCCGGCAACCCGGACTGGTTGGTCTGCCCAGGCTTTAAGTGCCTGAAGGATGCCTTCCTCTTGATCCATACTTTCAGAGTATATGATCTTTTCCTCCAGTGCGTCTAAACTGGCGGTTCAGCTAGTGTGTCCCCCTACTAAAGGACCTAGTTGCTCGGTTCTCCAATCTCAGCCCTGGTTCGAATTCAGCTATTATGTAGTACCGTCAAAGATCACTGCTACCTCCAAACTCAGATCTTCTCAAATGGGCTTCCTGTACGGTGATGAACAGTTTCTCAGATTTACACGATTATGAACTTATCAAGTGTTTGTATCGCCCGAAACCAGTTTGCATTTTTTTGTAGTTTCCAGGGTTCTTCCCCAGTTGTACAAATGCTAGCGGATCTCCCAGAATCACTCTCTGGTGCAACTCGAGTTACAGATTCTTAATTCAAGATCCAATCATCTTATACAAGTTATTATAACACAGGCCTATTTTTCAAAATCATCATCCATGAGATTTAAACTCTAGACCTGCCACTTGGAGAGTGTGATGACTAGACCACTTTACTAAGCCACCACACCTCTATTTATTTATTCAATAATGAATCTTAGTTGTATATAGAATGTTCTCAAACATCTCTCTGAATGTGATTTCCTAGTGATTGAAAATATATAGTATGATAAGTATTGTAATATAATTCTTGAATAGTGATGAATATCTGGGTTATGTGATAGTTAAAAAATTCTTTAAAGTTTATTTATAATCAGATTAATATTTATACTATGGCTAAAGTTTAGCAAAATATATATAAAATCTCTTAAGAAAATTTTTTTATTAGAGTATAGAAGGTGGTTTCTTATGAAAATTTTTTGAAAAATAAGCAATTTTTTTAAAAAAACAAATGTGTTTTTGAATTTTTCTAATCATGTTATATTATGTCAAATTGTTATTTCTTTTTAAATAGTTATTTTTTTAAATTAGTTTTCTTTTTTGTTATTATTATTTGCTTGTTTTTCTTTTTTAGTAATTTTTTTTAATTTTTAATTATTTTAAATTATTATTGTTATATTAAATAAAGACAATTAAAAATTTAAACTCTGCTTCGGAGATAATTTACTACAGAGCATCACATGGCCTGAATATTTTTTGCTATAGCTAGGGTACTTAGCCATTTTTGCATTAAAAAAGTGATCAAATTATGTGATTATAGGCTAAAAGTTTTTTTAAAAAAAAATATAGTCGGCATGGCTAACTAGGCCAAATAATTTTGGCGACCAAGTCAGCCCAAGAGTTTGGCATCAGCCTATATTACTACTACTAAGTCTATCTAAATTTGAAAAATAAACAATACTAATTTTTTAGAAAAAAAAACCAAATTCTCACTTTTTGTAAAAAATTTTTCAAAAAATAGCAAGATAAATAAAAAGAGATAAAGATTAACAAAAAGTAGAAAAGAAGTACCTGTATAGTTTGTAAAGAGTGTGTTGAAAAGTAAAAATTTATTTGTTGTTTATTTGTATTTTCTATTTTGTCTAAAAGTTTTGTTGATAGAAAAATACTATATTTTTATTGAAATTTTTTTCAAAAATACTATTTGCTAGTTATTTTATATAAAAATACTTTGGCTTGCATATTGAATATATAAAGAAGTTTCTAGAAAAAAATAGTTAATCTTTATAAAAAACTACTTCAACTAGTATATACTTTTGCTTTCTTTAATAAACTTGTTTATTTTTCTTTAGATGAGAATTTTAATATAAATAATTATTAAAAAGAGTTAATTTTTTTTTTTTTAATTCAGCAGTCTTGCCTCTACTGTTTATTGGATATACACTTAGGGCAGTGTTATTTATCACCTGATTTTTTTTTATCAAAGGCTTATCTCCCAGTTTTTAATATATAAATTATCAAGTTTTATATATAAAATTTCAATTTTTTTGACCTTCCTCTCTAGAAAATCATCTGATAATTGTCAGCTCCCTTAGGTAATTTTTGGTTGTAGTACAGTTACAACTATCTAATATATATATAGTATTAGCTCATCTAGTTACTAATCTGAGTATCTATGTACAACTTGCTATATAAGATTTTACCTCCTTATCAATCATCTCACAACAGGCCAGTTTCAAACTCACTAGATTGTTCCCAAACCTGAATCTATTTTTTTTATATATATCCCACATATATACTACTATACAACATCTACCGACTAACTTCCACCTCTCATTACTTATTATATTATTTCTAATTCAGGTTTTGTATTACTTCCAAATTAGTATCTTTTGAGTAGGCACTCTTCGTGCTTCTAGTTTGGTGTCCCTGGAAGCTACTTTAAGGGCCTAGCCATATCTCAACAGGTTTGGGTCAAAATCCCGACAAACAGAATTCCGATGGGTCATAATCCTGACAAAAAAAATTCTGACAATCAAAAATCCCAACGACCAAAATCCCGACAATCTTGATGACCATCAAAACAGATCTGAGAATTGAGAGCTTCTAGCGCTAGTATTTGATTATTTTCTCTTTTCAAAGAATTGAGTAATTGCGAACTTCAACCAGCTTTGAATAAGAGCACAAAACTGTACATATATATAGATTTTTTATTTAGTTTATGTTTTCTTTTTTTCACTATTATTATTAATTATTTTTTTTTTTCGATCTGTTTTACCAGATCTAAATAAATAGTGGCTTGCGCAAAACTATGATTCATAGCTAAGTATAGATTATTTTTTCATTATTATTATATTATTACTAATTTTTTCTTTTTCAGAATCTACTTTACCGGATCTTAACTGTGATTTGTAGCTATATAGGTGCGTTTTTAATATATTTTTAAAATACTGGGAAATGAATATGTAATTTACGAAGATTTTACGATTTTTTGAAGATTTTCGTTTTTCTTTTGTTATTATTACTAATTCAGTTATTACTAATCCAGAGTTCTTAACAATAGAGATTAGTTAGAATTGTTTAAATTCTGCATAAGACAAGGTCAAGATTTTTGGATTCTTTTTTTTTTATTTTGATTAATATCTTATTGATCTATTTATTTTTGTAGAGCATTGCGTGAACAAGTGAATAGATGGTGATGGTTGGACATAGATATAACGAATAATAAGTACTTGACATAAGACATGTTTCTCTTATAAAAGAGACATTTGTTATAGGCCGTTATTTTTGCCCTTTTGAACTCAGGATCTGAACAATATTTCAGAAAATAAGTTTATATATTTTATTTTTAATAGGAAAATTACAAATTCTTTTATTAATAAACAATTAAAAATTTACATTCTAAAAATTCTAGATGCATATAATTATAAAGAAAGATTGTATGCTATTCCACGGAAAAACTCTATTAATGTAAAATTTTGCCGATTCTTAATAATAGTATCAAATCTTTGTTCTCTCTCAATTATTCCTTTTTTAGGTGCTGGGCGATGTGCACCACGTATAATAGCTTCTACTTGATGCTCAACTTTTTGTTGTTCTTTTTGAAATTTCTCAATAATAGTATAAACACCCACATGTGGTCGACCAACTAAATTTTCCCACTTTCGGTGCCACGCCTCAACAATATTTTGTATTTGAGAAATACCTGCTTCTATGGAGTCATGCACAGACCACATTCGTGGTGGGAAAAGTGGTGATGAACGACTAGTATTACTATTACACATTTGTTGTAATTTTTTTCCATAGACATAATTGTCCTCAAACCATTCTACTACTTTTTTGACATCTGTGGGTATTTTATTCTTTAAATCATCAAATGCTACAGGAATTTCTTCTGATGGTAAGAATGCTAATGTGAATAACTGACGCAGCTCGATACTAAAATTTTTATCAAGACCATAGCGGATTAATAGTTTACAGTCTTGTATTTTTCTCTAGCCGTTTTGTCCTAAGTAAAAGAAGCAACACTTATTGTTAATATTAGGAAACTCAATGCGTGATGCGTTGATTGTGGCAAGTTCAAAGTCTGTAAGAATAGTTGAGGGACTTAATGAAATATTATTTTCTTCTGCAAATTCAGTTAAATCTTGAAATAATACTCTATATAGGTCTTCAGACTTTTTTGTCATCAACGCATATACGAGAGGGAGAACTCTTGAGTTATTCCCTACTCCGATAGGAGCATGGATTGTATACAATTGACAAAAAATGGTCGGGACAGTCTTGAAGGTGCTATCTATCATCCAGTATGATGATCTAGATAAGTGTTATATATTTGTTTTTGTAGTAAACAAGAGAATTCGTTCATCTTCAATTACTGAATCTCTTACTAAAAAATCTTCTCCACTTAATGTCGAACTAAATGAATCGGAAATATCAATATCGTCAAGATTCTTGAGTTGTGGAGGCATGTCTGCTCTTTTAACATGTTTGATTCGTATTCGCAAAGCATTATATGATGGAACATAAGGATAGATTTCCTTTGGGATGTTAACGATGGTATTTTGGATTATTTGAGCCGGTTGGTCATTAGTTTCATAAGCTCTATCCCTTATAGAAGCAATACTTCTTGCAACTTTGGCACTACTGGCTTGTAGTGCGTGATTATGATTATTAAATTTCTTAAGATAATGTAATTCATTTACAAATGTTGTCGTAGCATGACCTTTACATTCAAATAATTTTTTTTTCTCACAACACCAATAGTACATATTCTTCCGAACCCGTTCTTTTACCATCAAATAACCACAGACATTAATCTTATTCATTCCTTTTTGAGAAGGTACAATTTCACAAACTTCTTCCATTTTTTAATAAATAAATAAAATGATTTTAAGATTTTTCGATTAATGGTGTTTTTAATAATCTAGAGTTCGATATGAAACTAAATTTGAACTTTCTACTGAAGACACGTGTAGTGATTTAACAATTTTTAATACAAGGTTGTATTTTTTATTTTTATAATTGTATATATTTCGATAAATAATAGGATTCAACCCGAAGGTTCTGTTTTTTACAAAGACAAATTGCAGCTTATTTATAACTTTGGATAAGCAGGAAGCGTAAGGAGTTATGTTATAGACTTTCTTTATATAATGAGGCTTTTATAAGTATTGACCTTGAATTTCATTTCGAAAGTTATAAACATTTAATACTTTCTCATTCTTTTTTTTTTACTTTAAGCCTACTGTATAATTCTTTTATAGGAATAGAATATTGTGAGGCTTCCAACATAATGGTGGAGGCTTACTGTTACAGACATAGACTAAAGAGCATTTTCTACAGTTTTTAGAACAAAATATTTAAATCAATCAGGGATAAAGCTTAAAAAAAGGTCTAGAAATGGACGAGACAATATAGAAATAGCTAGGCTGAGGATTTAAGCTTTACTAGAAACATAGACTAAGGCTTAGAAAAAGGTCTAGAAATTGCCGAGATAGTATAGGAATAGCTAGGCTGAGGATTTAAGCTTTACTAGAGTTCAAGGCACAAAGTATATAGGCAGGTATGCCCATGGGCATAGTCCATATTTCCAAGCGAATTTAAATTTTTTATATCTTGTGTCTGTTAAATTTTTAGAAGCTAGTTCATTGATCATATTATTAATAAAAACAAGCTTAAAAGATCTTTCATTATTAATAAAATAAAATTGATTTTTATGATGGATAGCAATAACTTAAATTAATCATACTGTATGATTTATTGATTTACTATATTTTTAAAATTTTAAAATTATCTATTTGATTCAAAATAATACTTGTATAAATTTTATTAATAATTAATCGTTTGAGTCATCTTTAATTTTTACCGATTGACCATATTCAAATCCCAGAAACGGCGCTTTTGTAATATGGAAAAAGTCTGCAACGATCTTCACTAAGGTTGGCCCATGGAGGATCTGTCGAGACGGTGTTTGGTGGCACCATTGAGGTGATTCCGGAAGGCTATAATCTGTGGGCTTTGCATAGCACGGGTCACAGGACCAGAGATCGAAGCCCATTTGGGAAGTCCCAAGTTGAGAGGTAGCAGTGATTTTTGACGGTACTATATGAAGGCTGAATTTGAACTGGGGCCCGAAATTGGTGAACTGAGCGATCAGGTCCTTTAGTGGGGGGACACACCAGTCGAACTGCTGGTTTAGACGCACCGGAGGAAAAGGCCATATGCTCTGAAAGTATGGACCAAGGGGAGGGTGTCCTTCAGGCACCTAAAGCCTGGGCAGACCAACCCATCTGGGTTGCCGGCTGGAAGTAAGGGAGGGACCAATAGAGAATCTGGGTAAAAAGATGGTTAGAATATGGGTACCGGGTTGTTGTGAACCTTACAAAGGCAGGAGTACGTAATTGGCAACTAATTAGGAAGGTTGTGCTTGAAATACGGATCAGGTTACGGCAGCACCCCAAAAGTTGGCTCGAGATACGAACCCGGTGGGGCAGCACA